TTTTTTGCTGTATCTTTTTTTTAGCATTGAATGATTGGTTGTGAGTCGTTATTATTAAACGACATTGTGGAATACGATTCTAAACATGTCTAGGAATTTATTACTTTGATTGTACATACCACTCGCACGCATCAAGTTTTTGGCGTCGTTCTCGATGATTCCTAATAGTATTTGAAAGCATCTAACCATCTTATGTCTCTTTATTAGCTTTAGATTTAGTTTGTGTTTTAGATTTTCGTTTATAAGTGCAGTTTCCACTAGAAAAGAAACACACAACCAAAAGATCGTGAATGAGATCATCAAGGAAGGAGGAGCATTGAGTTCATCCTTGTTGAGATAGAAAGAAGAAGCACCTAGCTTAGAAGAGGAAGTTGATCTCGAGTTGGGAGAAGGAAACTAGCAAAGGGTGCAACTTCCATCTTGAAGAAAAAAGCATCCTTTGTAACTTGTTCCATAATAGCCACAATCAGGGAGGAGCAAAGAATGAGGATCCACATACTCTATATGAGTATCAAGATCAAGAGCTTTCAACATTACTTCGAGTATTGCTACACTATCAACAACCATGGAATGTGAGGTTCACAAGAAGGAGTGATGATGATCCGTGCAACATTTAAAGACGTTTTTGGAGATTGTAGATTCCATTCTTGGAGATGAAGCCATCAAAGGTGCCATTTGATTGTGCGTGTTCCATTTTTCACCGATGAGAATGGCAAAAAAGTGGCTGGACTATCATCCGCCCAACACCTTCACCAATTGGAAGACCCTTTCACAAGCATTCATTGAGGGGTTCTTTCCACCTTGGCGTACATAGGAGCCTAAAGATGATATTATTCAATTCCAACTGAAGGAAGGAGAGACATTCTATGACAGTGTGAAGAGATTCCAAGAGTATTTAAAGGCGTTCCCCCATCATGTATTCACCCAAGAGAAAGTATTTAAGTACTTCTCCAAAGGTCTATCGAGACACCAAGATGATGGTGAAGCAGTCACCCGATGGAGATTCACACAAATGACGGAGTGAAATGCAGGAGCACTTCACCACACTTGTAAGGAAGTCCAAGAATCGACCCAAAGAATCAGTGATACAACCATTGAAAGAAGCCCAATTAAGTGAGGAAGTGAATATCATCTTGCATCAGCAAATGAAGGAGTTTTCTCAACAACTAAAGGATGCTAAGATGGAGCCAAAGAAGGAACTAGTAACAACCTTGTTCATGCGTGATGCATGTGGAGAAGAAGACGATGACGATCAAGATTGATGGAACCTTGAAGGGAAATGACATGATGATGTTAATTATGGGAAAGGTTACCAAAGGCAACCTTAAGGAGGATATGCGTCCAAGGAGGAAGGAAGCCAAATGATTATCCGAAGACCACTTTAACAAACGCCTGCTATATTCATTATCAGCAATGGAGCAAAAAGTTCAATCCGCCCGAATTTGGGAACCAGCCACAATATAACAAACAAAGAGGAGGTTCTTCATACCATCAACCCAATCATTTCGAGAAATTAGAAGCAACAATTCATGACTTGCGAGCTAGATTTTAGGACATCGAACGTCAACTTTATACAATTCAGTTCGGTGTGAAACGGATCATTGCCCACTTCTAATTACGGCTTCCAATCCTTGTCATTCTCTTTTGTGAAACGGAAAGTCTTGCGCAGAGGAAGCAGCTGGAGATCGAGATGGAGGAGTTGGATGCGAACGAAGAGGAATTCTGGAGGCAGAGAAGTCGGGTGGAATGGTTGAAGCATGGTGATAAAAATACGAGTTTCTTTCATCAGAGAGCAGCAGCACGCCGAAAGCGAAATACCATTAAGAAAACTATGAATGGTCAGGGGCAGTGGTGCATAGGTACGGAGGCGGTCCTAGAGTGCATGGTGGACTACTTCAGCTCCCTTTTTGTAGCGTCCCCTGTACCTGAAACAACGCCAGTTGTGGATGCAATAAGGAGACGGGTTTCTGAAGAAGATAATGCTGAATTGCTGCGTCCCGTTACCAGAGATGAGGTCTATGGAGTGCTGAAGCAGATGGGGTCGAGGAAAGCTCCGGGCGCTGATGGCTTCTCAGCTATGTTTTTCAAACGATACTGGGGTGTTGTTGGTGATGATGTGATGAAGGCCATGACTAGTACTATTGAGGAAAGTGTGATGCCGGAGGGTCTGAACCATACTTTGATCGCGCTAATTCCAAAGGTGAAAGCTCCGACATCACCAATGGAGTTCCGCCCGATTAGTTTGTGCAATGTCATCTACAAACTGGTGTCAAAAGTCCTTGCAAATAGACTCAAGAAGCTACCTTACAAGATAATTTCACCGGCGCAGAGTGCCTTTGTGCCAGGACGTGTGATTACAGATAATATAATGGCAGCTTTCGAATGTTTTCATTCAATGAAGTTGAAGAAGAAAGGGGCAGTGATGCAGCAGCAAAGATTGATATGGCAAAGGCGTACGATCGAGTAGAATGGCTTTTTCTGAAAGGAATAATGATAAAAATGGGTTTTGTTGACCGGTGGGTGGACCTGATTATGATGTGTGTTCAATCAGTTTCTTATTCGGTTTTGGTGAATGGCCATCGGTCAGAAATATTCAGGCCAGGGAGAGGACTTCGTCAAGGGGACCCGCTGTCGCCTTATTTATTCTTGCTTGTGGCTGAAGGACTATCATCGTATACTGAAAAAGCAGTGGCGGAGGGGAGCTCTCACGGATTCCAACCTATCCGGGGCGCCCCTATGGTGTCCCATTTGTTTTTCGCTGACGATAGTATTTTCTTTTTCAGGGAAAATGCAGCGGAGAGTTCATAGCTGAAGAAGATCCTAAACGACTATGAACGAGAGTCTGGCCAATTGGTCAACTTTCAAAAGTCAGAGGTATCTTTTAGCTGGAACGTCAAACCTCATGGGCGACTGGTTGTGGGAGGTAGCTTGGGAATGAAAATTTTTGACAAGCATGACAAGTACCTTGGGCTTGCAACGGAAGCTGGCAGATCGAAGAAAGAGTTGTTTGTGTCCCTGAAGGAGCGAATTCGTAAGAAGTTAAAGGGTTGGAAAGAACGAACCATGTCGGCAGAGGCAAGGGAGGTAATGATAAAGGCAGTGGCGCAAGCACAGCTGACATACTCTATGTCTGTTTTTCGTGTCCCGGAAAGAGTAATGGATGAGATAAATAGTATGATCATTAATTTCTGGTGGGGGCAAAGAAATTCGGAGCGACGTGCACACTGGATCAGCAGAGAAGAACTAGTGCAATCGAAAAGCGAGGGCGGGATGGGTTTTCGCGATTTACGAGGCTTTAACACAGTTCTACTTGCTAAGCAGTTGTGGCGACTTCATCAATGACCAGACTCACTTAGCGCGCAGATTATCAAGGCAAAGTATCATAAGCATAGTTCTGTACTAGATGCGAGATGTGGGTACAGGCCGAGCTTCATTTGGCGATCGCTTATAAGCGCACAGGAGTTCTTGTGTAGTGGAATACGGTGGCGAGTGGGCAACAGACTGAACGTGAAGATTTGGGGGGGGGGGGCCAGTGGATCCCTTCGCTGCCTCAAATGTATGTTCCGTCAGTGCCGATGGGTTTGCCAGTAGACTCATGTGTTAGGGAGCTGATTGAACCTAAAACAGGACAATGGAATGTGGCCCTTCTGGAGAGTTGCTTTCCGGCTGCTACTGTTGAAGCGATAAGGCAGTTTCCACTTAAGGGACATGGGGAAATAGATATGTTGATTTGGAAATGGAGCCATGATGGTGATTATGTGGTAAAGGAAGGCTACAAGCAGTGGTTGAAAGAGTTCGTGAAGAAAAAAGGGCTAGCCATGCATGGGGGCGAGAGTACTTGGAAATGCATGTGGGGAATGACACTGCCACCAAAGATTAAACAATTTATGTGGCGTTTCATGAGATGTGCTCTCCCAACAGGTGATCGTGTTAGTGAAAAGAGTGCTAGATGGAGTGACATGTGTCCGTTTTGCAATCTCCGAGAGTCCCAAATCCATTTCTTTGTTGAATGTAGTTGGACGTCCAGAATTTGGCGTCGATCCACACTTTACTCTTGCTTCGAAGCTCGAAGCAATGACGATTGTTTGGATTGGGTAAAGCAAGTGATGGATAAGGGGGATACGGGCTTGCTTGAGGACGGGTGTACACTTATGTGGTTCCTATGGAGAGAGAGAAATGCTCAACTTTTTAATGGGCAAAAGACACCGGAAGAGGAAATTGTGACGAGGGCGGTCAGCTATCTCGAGGCCTATAAACAACAACAAGGACAGGAACATGTGGCTAGAGAGGATCAAAGTGCTAGAGGGCCAAAGCTATGGAAAGGCCGGGCGATGGTTCTGTCTCGATAGCTACAGATGCTGGAATCTTACCAGCGGGAGGAGCATGCCTTGGGGTTGTGATCAGGGACAGCGAGGGACGTTTCATTCTTGCAAGGGCTAAGAAGATACGAGGAAGTCGGATTGCACTAAGGGCGGAGGCTAGTGCTGCTGACTTTGGAGTGCAGCTGGCCTGGCAGATGCAAATTCAAAGACCGATTCTTGAGTCTGACAGTCAAGTACTAATGCAAATGATGGACAAGTCGAATCAGGTGCAAACGGAGGAAGGAGTTCTGTGTAGAAGCGTTCAACGAAAGCTTACAGAGATGGATGGTAAAGGCTGGAAGTTTATCTATCGGGAAGCAAACAAGGCTGCTCACATAATGGCACATACGGAAACTAGATGGGATGAGAGTGTTATTTGGCTGGATCGGCCACCGACTTTTCTCATTGATCAGCTGATGCTGGACGATGTAACCGCAAATGCTAATTAATAAAGCTTAAGCAGGTTTCCTATAAAAAAAAATCTCTTTTGTTGAACAAAGGGTGTCCCAAATACATCGGGCAGGCCCAAACTGTTGCTAATCCCAAATACATGGCCCAAAACGCGGCCCTTTCACTTTGGGGTTTCAATCTTCCCATCTGTAGTATAAATTGGCACTAGGGTTTGGAATCACAGAGTTCCTCGTTTTCCTTCCTTTGGCAGCCGCAAATAGCTTGAAGGTAAAACCCCTACTCCTCCAATCCTGTCGCTTGATCGTTCAATCAGCTCTTCAGATTTCTAACTCCACAGGTTCTGTTGCTTTCTTTCTCCGGCAGGAAATGGCTCCCGCCGCGAAGAGTGGTTTGGCCGTCGGTCTGAACAAGGGGCACATCGTCACCAAGCGGGATTTGCCGCCCCGTCCATCTGACAGAAAGGGGGTACGTAGGCCTTTTTCTTGCCTATACATCTGTCTGTTTCAATACCGGATTTCCATCTCTGTGCAGTTTTCATGTCCCATGGATTCTAATGATTTTTCCCGCTTTTCTGATTGGTCGATTCTGTATTGAAACAGAAAACAAGCAAGAGGGTTCATTTGGTGAGGAACCTTATCAGGGAAGTTGCTGGATTTGCACCGTACGAGAAGAGGATCACTGAGCTTTTGAAGGTCGGTAAGGACAAGAGAGCTTTGAAGCTGGCCAAGAGAAAGCTCGGAACCCACAAGAGGGCCAAGAAGAAGAGAGAGGAGATGTCCACCGCACTCCGCAAAATGAGGTGAGCCCTCCTACAACTATTACCTATTTCTGTTGTATGGACTGTGTGTTGTCTCTAGCTAGCTGGTTAGGGTTTTGTATATCGAGAAGAATGTCAATCCTTTGCTGCTATTCTGATATATGCATGTTTGTTGGCCTCTACCCATTGCTTATTTTAGGCATTGGTCTTTATGTTGGCTCCTTAATTGGTAGTGGTGTTCTAGGAGCAATACTAGCATATCGTGATTGGCCTTTTTTGGATATCTAAGGATTGGTACTTCGTATATCTTCTACTGGTTGTACTCAGCTGGTTACTAGCTAATTGCTGGATGGTAATAGGTGGTAGGGTTGTATTATTGTCATAAGATCCGAGTTTGGGGAAATTGCTCTACTGTGAATGTTACTGTAATTGTGATGAGCGATGGCTGTAGTAATTGATTACATTCTTGTTACTTTTGGGACTGTTGTTGTTTGGTCTGATAATGGATACTGGAAAGTTGATACTGATTTATATTCTGTTGTTTGCAGGTCTGGGGGAGCAGGTGAGAAGAAGAAGTGAGGGGGATGGGCAATGTTGTTTTGTCCTCTCGAGTATTTTGCTGTTATAAGTTTTGAAAACGTTGTTCAATTGAAGAGTAGTTTTAGTTTTATGGTTCTGATTGTTGACAGTAGAGCAATGTAATGCAATGCAGTCCAGTCTTTGGAGAACTTGATTCTTGTTCCGCAGATTGTATGGATGTTTTTTTACTGGATCCTCTTTCCTGATGTTTCTGATTTGTTCTCATGATTTGCTGTGCTCTAGTTTCTTCCTTGATCACAAGGATCCTGGAGATGTTAGTCTATTCCATAGCAGTTTGAAATTTTATTTTGATATAGCTTCATTTGTTTGCCTGGTAAGGTGATCAACTCGAAGATTGGAACAGGGGAGAGACATGGCCTCAAAATGTGGGTTATGATTTTGTAATTGTGGCAAATGAAAATGAGAGTTGTCCAAGTATCATGAGAACAACTAGTATGGCTGACTGTACTAGAGCTGGTTTCTCCGTTTCTGCAAGAAAGAACTGATGGAGAGAGGAGAAGAAATGAAGGAAAGGTACAAGAGGTTGGAAGGGTAGAGGAGAACGGTAGATTTCCCCTGCGGGAAGGAAAAATGATGGAGCAAGGTGTTTGTTGTGATGGGGCTGTGGGAGGACTGAAGAGCCCAGACCTTGGTCCAAATACGTTCATTTCCAAAATCTTAACCACAAAACATTAACTAACTTCAGCATCACACTATGGATTGTAGGGAGTATAACCAGTAACCAACTCAATGCTCATGGATTTCTCAACATCTACAATCCGCATTCGACCGTGTGACTCTATTTAGCTCGAGCTATTCGTAGTTGGGTAGTCGACGCATTACTTCATCCCTCTATAAAAGTTAGGGTTTCAATAGAGGTGAAAGAATGATTCCATGATATAAAGAGCATCACATGCGACTAATAATAAGAGATGGGAGAGGAAACTTTGCGAAGCAGAGGTCTGGATCATCCAAGTAGGCGATCTTTGGCAAAATGTTTCAGTTTTTGATAGCTGTTTCATTAAGTGATAATGTTGATGACTTCCAACTATGGCACAAAGATCTGAGATGGAAACCACTGTTTCAGTTGGCATCAAATGGGGTGGTTGACAGGTTGGTGTTTATAACTACGTACTGCATTCAGTTTGTGTTAAGTGTGTCACAGTTCCATGACGAGTATGGATATTACACACAGAAGTAATAATGACATTTCAATAGACATATGCAATCGAAGGAGTGTGCAGTACTGCAGTTGCTATAAGGTTAACTCATGATCATACAAGAAACTGCTGAAAAACAATCAACCCGAAGTGGGGCAAGTTTACACAATGGTGCTGATCCAAAATGGAGAGTAAGATTTTTTCAGAAGCATCAGGAACGAGTGTAATGTGTTGTTGCATTAGTAGAGAGACGGGGGACGACAACTGGTCCCCCACGAACTCGGTCTAGAGCAAAGCTAATTCTCAATGGTCGACCCAGCAGTGCCTGCCAAACAATCAAACCCAAAATTTTCTCTCACTTTTAAGAGCAGTGAAGAAAGTGGAAGAAGGGAAGAGTAGAACAACTAGAAGATAATCAGGAGGGAATGTATGTTCCTTTTTCCTCACCTTCCCATCCATGGCGTCCTTGGCACTACTGGCCTCATCTTCTTTAGTGAAACTCACAAACCCAAACCCTCTTGATCTTCCGCTGTCTCTGTCATACGCAATCCTCACTGAAAATCATGACAGATGCTCCTTGAATACTGAGGAAAATGGGCAGGCAATTCACAACGACAACAACAACAACAACAAAATAATCGCTAGACCACCGAGCCAGAAGCAGGCTCGTTGAGGCATTTCGTCGAACAGTTGGATGAGTAACAAAGGAAGACACAAAGCTGCAGGTGACAATCACGGAAAAAACACGGACTTGATCAAATGGGTATCATCAGAAATTACCTTCTGTTACCTCGCCGAAAGAGGAGAAAGCGTCTTGCAATGATTTCTCGTTCACCGACCATGACAGACCTGGCGATTGAATACCATACGTCCATACCAGAGCCCCCATTACCCAAGAAGAACACCAAATCTTTAGGACATTAAAATTAACGTTAGGGAAGAGAAGGTAAACCTGCAACGAATAGTTTACTGTTGGGACCAGGTGGAGAGTCGGGGCTATGAACTGTTGCAAAAGCTCTTCCAGCAATGGAGGACAGAGTTCTCCGCATCGTAGTCGAATCAAGATGGTAGCGGTTGTTTCTTCCAACAATGCAGGCCAGAGGTAATTTCAGGTCAGGGATTCAGCCGTTTCTGGGTCGGGCTGGCGCTATTTGGGCTTTCAAATTATTGGGCTTATCGAGAGCCGGGTCGAGTTTGAGAACAAATGACCCTCTTATCTGTCTCTATAAAATTTCAGTCTTCACGCCTCTCCACCGGGGAAGTGAAAGACAGGAAGGAGGGGTTGGTGGCGGCTGCCGTCGGAGCTCTGCTGCAGAAGACGACGGTGGAGAGTAAAGGTCTGTAGTCTGTGCTCTATAGCGTATTGACGTGTGGGTTATACTTATAGATACTGGATTGTAATTGTGTGTGGTCCTTGCTTGTCTATTTTGAATTCTGTAGGTACTTTTTGACTGTAAGTAGCGATCAATCGAAAAACAAAACCCTTTCTGTCTCCTTCTTCTTCTTCTTCTTCTTCTGGTTCTGGTATCGACTAAGCTAGTGATCAATTTACCTCCTCGGCCACGTTTTGTGTCAAAGGTCAGTTCTTTCATCTACCTTCTACCTCGCTAAACCTTAGAAGCTAGATGGTTTTTCCCCGCTGCAGTTTTACTTGAACCCTTTTCCTCTTCTTTCAGATACCCAATCAAGCATTCGATGTTTACGCTTTGTTTTGGAACCAGCAGATTTAAATTATGCAGTCTGAGGATTGAGTTGTCTTATTTGTCAAAAATCCTATTGATTGCCCAGATTTTGTGGTCTCTAGTCGGTTCATGGTTACAACTTACAAGGGGGATGGATGATAGGAGTTGCTATAGAATCATTGCTTTCTGAACGGGTTCAAGCATAAGGATCCCAATGAGTTCTAAGACAGTGTTCATAATCTATATAAACTGTGGGTGCTATATAAACTGTGGGTGCTTGAGTGCTTGAAGATGATTCTGTTCGGGTGGGTTGATATCTGTAGAGTGTTTGTTGCTCGACGGCTGACTTATTGTTGTGGTCAGGGTGTCCTCATTTATGTTTGGTTATCTACTATCTGTAGTTTGTTAAACTTGAACAATGGTAAAAACTGCAGCTTCTGATGAGATGGGTATATTTATGTTTAGTATAGGAAATGGAGTTCCTTGGGTCCAATTCTGTTCATTTTTGCATAGGATGGTTATTGATTCGCACTTTGCCATGGCCCGCTTAGTTCGTCAAAAACTCAAAATGCTGCATATCCGTAAGTGATGCAAATTTGCCGAAATGTTAGGATTGGCTACTTCGGGCTTTTGCTTTTCCAGTCTTTCTCTGAATCTATTGGCAACAAGTTGCAGCAACTTTCTTGGGCTTAAGAGTGTGCACCAATCTCTCAGATAGCTAGATGGTTAGGATGGGGGACATTTGCAATAGGCTTGTGGTGTGATGATAAAGGCTTGATTGTATTTCAAACTTGTGTTTAAGTAGGAAAACTAAATTGGATAAGGCCGTTAGTGTCTATGACGAATCCTCTTGAGTGATTGATTGAGTGAATGAATTGGTTATGTCTTTATTATTGAAACATGACATTATTATTTAACAACCACCATGTTTGCTTTCAGAAGTGAAAAAAGAAAGGAAACAGAAGGAAATGAATGGTTTCAAGGCCTTCAAAGCCCAAGTCCCAATCGCATGGAGTCCTCGGCTATTCATAACTCTGGTGAGAGGGATTCCCGGGACCAGGAGACTCCATAGGCGCACCCTGGAGGCATTGAATCTCACTAAGTGCAACCGAACTGTAACACGGGCCAATTGTTCTTCCATTAGAGGAATGCTCAACCAGGTAATGCCGTCACCATAAATTGTTCTAGCTCCCTATATCTAAACTTAATTCTTTAGTCATGGTTTCTGTTCTCTGGGTCCAGGTAAAGAGGCTGATTGTGATTGAGACCGAGGAAATGTACAATGCTCGTAAGCAGAATCTCGCTAACCACAAAGCTGTTCGCCCTCCGGTGGTTGTCGGGCACTCCCCTTTAATCGCTGCAAGTAGCTCTTCTTCATAGACCCTTTTGTATCACGTTCTTGCAATGTTCTTTAGATGTCAGCTCTAGTTGTGTTCGAGACGGCGTGGGTTGTTGCTTAGTCCTCTTCCAAAGTTGTACCAGCTATGCGAATGCCATGTAACTTTTTTCGAATTTCACAGACAAAAGAAAAAAGATTGGCAGGCAGGGAAAATAATTGGTTCAACATGGGAATACATCGCAAGATCATTGGTACAAGATTTGCTTGAATACTAACAAATAGTTAAATACACATATGAACTAAGCCTAACTTTTGCCTGGGATTGCTAACACTAAAATGCCTGCCATTTTATTATAAGCTCTCCCCTTTCAATTCCACCTCGAGCATTGAAAGCTGAAACTCTCGGTTACCTACTTTCCTTCATCGCTTCATTCATCTCAGAATAACCACATTTTGTGATCTACAAAATTATAACTATTTTCAATATATTTCGAGTAATTTTTTTGTATCACCAATACTACTCGTTACCACCTTGGTACCCAAGGGCGTAATTAGAGTATAATAGGGGTGCCAGATTTGGAGAAACACAAGATATTAGTAGTATTAGTTAGTTAATGATGATATTTAAATAGTAAATTTCAGTGTCAATCGTCAAATCTTCTACCGTTAAATCACAACAAACTAATAAATTAATTTCATCTACTAATTTCTACATGAAAATTAGGGTCGTTTGCTTGTGGATTTAAAAATGACGGTTTTGTAATTTAAAAACCCAAACATTTATCAAGGATTTGAGGCATAATGGATCTGCAACAATCCTTTGTTTGTTGAGATGTTTTATCATGGATTTAAGAGTTTGGGATTTAGAACCTAAAGTTCAAAATTATCATACTATTCTTTTCTATTTGTTTGTCATGTTTATGATATGTACACAAAATAAGGACAATACGTACTAATAAGCATAATGTTGCCACAATGACAACAATAATAAACGGCAAACTTTCGATTAACATTTAACGTAACATATAGTGGTTACCAATTCTTTGTCCTACTTTTGAAAAATAACATATAACAACATATATTAGAACCGGAACAAAGAATTACACATTCAATGAAAAGGTCAAAGGAAACTAGAACACAAGAAATGGTATAAAAAATTCTAACTCATGTTTCCACATTAATTGAATATTTATATTATTTCTTTATTGTTAATTAATTGATTATTTATGATTCACAAGAGGTAAATGTGAGGCAAACTTGGAATTTTAAAAGTTCATAAGGGTATATGGGTAAAATACCATCATGGATTTATAATATGTGGGATTTACAAGTCTGTGGATAGGGCTGGGAAAGTAGACCAGACCGTTTGAAAAACCATGGTCTAAACAGGACCACACAGTTTGGTCCGGACCGTAAACCGTTAAGTATGGTCTGGTCTGGTCCATGGTCTGTATTATATGATGTTTTGATTTATTGGTAGGTTTGGTCTAGACCGCGGTTTACCGGACCAACCGTGGACCCAACAAACTTCTCAATATGTGTTAGCAACCCACTAGACCACTCTTCCAACTCCCACAACGATGCCTAAGTCTCAATCTTAATTTTGAGAATCTCGTCTCCTCCTTCATTCACAATCACATTTCACTAGAGAGTAGAGACGATCATGTCTCCACATGACATTATGTAAATGTTTATGACGTTATGGTGCAAGTTGGGATGTTTTGACTTTGTATCTTTATTATTACTGAGATTTATGGTGTCAAAATTATCCATGCATGTAGAAATTTAAGTTTTAAGGAAACAAAACATTTTTTTCTTTATGCAGTTGACTAATTAAATTGTTCATTTTTCGTTCACTATGGTCTATCTAGACCAAACCGTACCGGACCAGACCGCACAGGCGTGGTCTTGTCTGGGCCGTATAGTACGTAGTTTGGTTTGTGGTCTATACTCTAACTTCTCGGTCTGGACCGTATACCGCATATATGGTCCGGTCTGGACCAGACCGTACTGTTTCCCAGCCCTATCCATGGGGTCCACAGATTTTGACCCTTCAAATCCATGGCCCCCATAGATTTGGTCCCTAGAAGAGATGCAAGCAAATGATGGAATGGATTTTGGTACAAAAATTCATCATCCAAATCCATGAAGCAAAGAACCCCTTAGTTTCTATCAATGTATTTGCTTGTGAAAATAGATTTGAATTGCTACTATCATCTGTCAATGCACAAGTTGATAACATTTTATGCTATGAAACAATTGTTCAGCCTTCGCATCTAGTGAACTAAAGTTGTGAATGGTTATTCGGTTGGATATATATTAAGTGTGAAATCTTGATAGTATGCTGATTCATATAGTTATAGAATAATTTCACAATATAAAACACGAGGCCGCATTTATAATTTTTTTATGACACCCCCTTGAATAAAATCATGGCTACGCCACTGTTGGTACCACCTTCGTTTTTACTTTGAATTTTGAAAATTTTTGCCCAAAATAAAAGAGTTTGTCGCGATCTATTAGATCTACATATTTTTTGGAGAAAAAAATTTCATGACAAGAAGTATCACCCTATACCACTGTGATACAGAGTGGTAACTGGTGGTATACGTTGATGAAAAGTGATAAATTACGGTTAATATATTTATGCTATCATGTACGCAATCATTTTATACTGTGGTGGTTCATACCATCATGATACACTTTCATACCACATTATATAATCTTATGTACATACAAAGTAGTACCACATGGTATGGACTGACAATAAAACTCTCAATTTTTTTTCCAGAAAATATATCAAAGTGGATGTTATTTTGAAGAGCACTAACACATGTCAAGTTGGGTACACCCATATGGGTACGGAATAGGGACTGGTCGATCCATTTTTGTATGTTATCTGAAGAAAAGGACAATGATATATTTTTATTTTATAAGAAGGGTATAGAGGAAATACTTCATAAATAATTAGATATATAGTAGAAATAGTAATTGAGTCTAAATAATTGAAAGATGGAGTCTTAAAATTCTATGGGTTGAAAATATTATTTAGAAATGTTTGAAAAGGAGAAATACAAGTAGATATTAATGCAAATTATGATAGAACATGTCAAGAATCAGGGGTGGGGACAGAACGATACAAGTCGAAATTAGTACTCATGTCCCGCTACACGATACTACGAATCAGGTAATACACGTCCCAAACATGCCGGAGTAGATGGTAACGCTTAAGTCAGATCACAAATTTTCATCACTATAGAACAGGTTCTAGACAAACATGCTCTAAATAGAACTGATCCTTTTGTATAGTGTGGTCATTCTACTTCCCCTTCAAATTTGTTTTTTTTTTCAAGCAACCTTGCGGCCAAATGGATGACTAGTAGAATTATCAAATCAGTTATAATACTCGTTCAGTTTATTTGTTTGGATGGCTCAGGATGGTCCAAATTCTTTTTAATGGATGAAAATGAAACTAGATGAACCACCACAGTTTGACTGATCAAATGGTTCACTATTTTAACCACAAAAATTAAGAAAAATTCTTTTAATTTCAACTAAGACCATAAGCCTGAAATACTGATTTTATTAATGCTTCATCTTTTCGTCCTCCAACCTCTTTGTCAGGTCCACTATCAATTGGGGATGAGATACCGTCACAACCCACTTTGTAGCCATTGGATACATTCTCTCTCCTGTCTTTTTTTTTTAAATCGATGGTTAAGATTACACGAAGGTTATTTTTGGAATGGAAAAAACTATCCACAAAGAATTGCTACCACTATTATTTTCCATATCATTTCCCTTTCCCTAAAAACGATCCCCCTCTCTCTGCCGGCACCAGCACCAGTTCTTCTTCTTCTTCATACCCATCCACCCCAGTCGTCGGCGCCACCGCCATCCAGCCCTCCCGCCGCCCTCTGCCGTTGCCACTGCCTCCCACCACCAGCACCAACGTCACCTCTGCCTCCCCCTTCCCTTGTTCCTCCGCCTCCTACCACCTTCTGTCTTCACGCCAAACCACCGCCGCGAGGTAACCGCCTCTCCTCTGCCTTCCCCTTCCCTCATCCCTTGATTTATTTTTCCAGATTCTATATTTTTTTTTTTTGTCTTAGTCTCTAGTGGTACACTGTGACTACCAGTAACTAGATGATAGTGGTACCAAATGATAGTGGTACCCTTCCACTACCAGCTACCAGATGGTAGTGGTAGCGTTGTGCTAGTAGTGTTACCAGTGGTAATGGTAGCGTACGACTAGCGCACTGACGGAGTGATAATTTTTTGCAGGTGCCTGGAGCAATTCTGATTTAAAGGATTTCGCCGAAAAAAGTCTGTTGGTCGGAAAGTCAGCCCGTCGCGTGGAGTGCCTGCTGGATAATGAAGAGAGAGATAGGAAGAGAGAGAGAAATGTATTTATTGTTGGATTTAAATCATAAAAAGCAGGTATTTAATATGAGTTTTAATTCAAAATATGTAATTAATACAAAAAATTAATTAATAAATTCTTTTTTTTTTCATACCCAAAATGCCTTGGTTGTAAATCTCACAACCCCTCAGGGGGAGTGACCATATCCCGCTCCCTATCAATTGTTACCCTAATTACTAACTTGAATTTAATAATTTTTTATGGTTTCTTTTGTGAGACAGTTTGAATAATTTGTTAGAACTTTTGGTGTTTGATGATATGAATTTGAAATTGTTTATGGTTAATGATAAATTCAATAATAAATTAGTTCAATTACTATATATGTCGTAATGTTATAAAACATGAACCATTCCGTTAAAGGTTAATCAATAATTCTATAGTGATTAACCGTTAAATTATAAAACCACTGGTTTTTCTAGTTCTCTCTCTGCACCGCTCACTCCCTCACTACCCCCAACCACCCTGCCGCCGCTCACTCCCTCATCTACTTCACTCACCACCCCAACCCATCTCCCCTCTTATCTCTCTTTCCACTTTCCGGCGAGAACCTGTCGCCAATATTTACAGCTTGTACGGCTTCGAGGACGAGCTGGAAATTCTTGGCTGATTTTTATATATGTTATTTTTTATTGGTGTTTTTCAAAATGGTAGTGGTTGTCTAATGGATTGGTATTGATTATCATGTAATGGTATTAATTTGCATATATTGGTTTTGATTAAATCTGCAATGGTATTGGTGTTTTGTGAAATGGTAGTGTTTTTATTTCTCGAATGATATTGGTGTTTTGTGCAATGGTAGCGTTTTCGAAGTGGTAATCGTTGTCTAAT